TGCGAGTTTAGGCATCTTACCAGTCACCGCTACCAAAGATACGAAGAAGATACGGCTGCATATGTGTACCCATGTATGCATGCAGCATCACGGCCGCTTCATACCAATCCCTTCGCTTCATAATTTGCTTAGCAAATGAATCGATTAGAGCGTCAGGAACGGTCGTCCATTTGTGGGCGGGCGGGCGTGGCGGGCGTTTGGGACGTAAAGTTGTGGCTTGATAGGGCCCTTATAAGGGCACCTTCCTCGGGGAAACCGCTATGCAGCCCAGGGTCGCGGAATTCTATCCTGCCAGGAGTATTGATCCTAGTCGTCTTGGGGGATTTATCGTGCCAACTGCCTTTAATGCTGTTGAAACGTGATGCATTACTTGTTTGTGAAGGTCGAGGAAAGGGGTTACGGCACTAAATATGTCTTGTGAAATAATGGAGTGTTTCACAACACAAAAAATAGGCAACTAAAGAGCCCCTCCTATTCCTCCTTAGTGAACCATAATGACCATGGCCTTCAAAATAAGCATAGTAAATCGTCACCTGGTCAATCGAGCAGCCGAATCTCCACTCAGTACGCAGAGCACACTAATTTCGACAGACTTGGAACTGTTCAAACTTCAACTAACAGTTGTATTTGTCTTGTACAGACTAGGGTTGTGTCACTCAGCAACACTTTACTTGCTCCTCGGCCGCGCCCGATGCTGGCGATGCTGTTTGAAGTTCAGAAGCCTGTGAAGCTGTTCCCACTGCAGCTGGATATGCTCTCGTGTCAGTGGCTCAGCCTTCGGTGCCGTTGATAGTAGAAAAGGCTGACCACAATGTAACAAGCGATGACGAAACCAAAGAAGTAACTGAGTTGGTCCCTGCAGATTCGCAAACAGGCCCCCGTAAGTGAGGCAAAGCCCGCGATTTTTTCTCCGTAAGTCACAGTAAGTGGATTGGGGGCTTGCATGTAGAAGGCTAGGTGATGAGCCGCTCGATAGTGAAGAAAAAGGCAGAAAAAACGCCAAAAAAGCCCCACATAAAACCCGATTTCGGTCTCAGTTTGTATGTGGCCAAATAATTCCATCTCCATCATTACGCTCTCATCGCATAGCTGATTCCCCAGTGAGACCTCTACGACCGTACAAGTGACGATTTTCATGCTTTTTCGTCCTGCAGCTTCGTTTTTCACTGAAAGACGGGCCTTGAAGGCAGAGTCTGGAGGCGGAGTCACTGGAAAAAGGAGGCGTTACTGAACCTGCTGCGCCATAGCGACCCATCCTTACGCTTTTTGCTGCGAAACCGGTACAAGGTTGTTTGTCGCGGACCACACTACCCTCCCACGCCATATTTCAAGCTTCTATACCTGATCGCGGACCGTACCTTTGAAATAAATGGGATGGTGGCCTGGGCTCACTGTCGATATGTTAGTGGCCCAAGTACTCGATCAGTTCGATGCTAATGTTTGTAACAGTGTATCACCGTACTTCTGAATCACTACCCCTTTTCTGCTGAATCGGAAGCGAAGCTTTGATCGTGCTTCTAGGATGGGCGCCTATCTGATGTCAACTCATTGCGACGATTCCTGGCAGAAGGGTCCCAACTCCAACTAACACTGGAAATCCTATGACCCACTTTTTTTGCCGGTCTGCCAGATTTTGTGTAGATTTGAGAAATATCTGAAGTGAGAAAACCAGTTTTCTTCTATTTCCTTTCGTCGTTAAGTCATTAGTATAGCACAGGATAGCTAAGCTGATTGTGAGGAAATGAGTGTACAATATAACAAAGAATGTTAAAAGAACCACACAGTTCACTACAAAAACCTGATTCTTTAGGTTTCCATGGTTGTGGTTGAAACCGATTTGGTACTTGAGTGGGAACGGCTTCGAGTTCGACAGGCTGGTGAAGCTCACTAACGACTTCACGAGGAAGGTGGGACTTTATGAGTTCAGGTCATTTAAGGCTGCGCTTACACTTCGGCATGATGCGCCCCGACGCGCGTTCTTTAGTTTCCGCTGCAGCAGCGCTCCAGTGCTCTGGACGGGAACTCCAGCCATAGACAGGTGTCGATCTCTCCGTCCGTTAGTATTTCGAACAGTATAGGGGAATAGAAGCGAACTAGACTGTGCGCGCTAGTTTCAGAAAGTTTAGGAGATTAGGGAGGCAGTTTACAGTATATACAATTCGCGAATCTTCCATCGTCTTACAGTTTCTCAAAAGATTATCGGTCGGCGAGGATCGATCCCGTTTCTGGCTGCGTTCCCATCTATATCATAAAAGCGTTATTAGCGCGACAACGCGCGTCATCGCGAAGTCTACGCAGCCCTATATCTGCGTTTCTAGGTGATTGCCGATAGGAAAAGCGTTATGGAAGAAGATGGTTCAATCGAAGGAAACGAAGAAAGTCTGAAGCGAGAGAGGCTAGCCTTCCTTGATCTTCTTCTGCGAATGCAACATACCAACCAGCTAAGTGATGAAGATATCAGGGAAGAAGTTGACACATTCATGTTCGAAGGTGAGTCGATAGTTATCACAAGAATGCTGAGTTGTGAGCAAAAGTCGTGCCCTAGGCGGGAGTCGAACCCCCACCTCCTTCTGAGTTGATTGTAATTGATTACATAAAGAGATGCATCCACACAGGAGACTTTGCTCATTTACTCATTCAAGGAATATGCAAGCGAACAATTGCAGCGCACAAAAATTGGGAGCGGCTCGGATAAGGGTGCCGAATTTTCACTTAACTAGTGCCTAAGCAAAATGGCCACCTCCGGTGGTGTTCACGCACTTTAGAGACATGGTCACTATCCTTAGAGTATTCAAAACCTGAGCACCCTTGATGAGGTGCACTGCCATGCTTGGGCCTAGCAGTCAAATCAGGAACAAAAAGGGTTGTGTGGCTCCGCCGGGCGTGACGATGGGCTTAGGTATGGTAAAATGTAGAGAGAGAAAGTTGCTGGAAAACGCCAGTCTTCGCAGGAGTGCCCCTCTTTGCTCGGCGATACGACTTAGTACAAGTCTTTATGAAAATATTAGGTTGTCCGGAAAGTTCTCAGCGTTTTGGGCGTTTCACTTTGAACGATCGTAACTTTTTTAATACTATCGGATTTAATCGAAACACGCCACTCTATTCGAATCGCATACTTTTTTCTAATGGACGAGTCGAGAAATCCACATCAACCGAAAAACCTGGGGTCGAAAAATTCACGGAATTCACTAAGTATTTTTGCTGCCTGATTGAATGAAGTATTTTTCGCAGCGAGAGATTCTGAAAATGTTAGAAAAGTGTATACGCTTGCGGGAAAGTGAAGAGTATGGCGTTGAGGTAAACTTCAACCCACCTTCAATCCGTCACTTTCATGTTATATGATTTTGAAAACGGTGTGGCGGGCGTTGTCATGCAAAAGAATCGGACCCTTTCTTGATAAGTGTTGCTGCATCTGACAAAATTTTCGGTACAATTCGTCGATTTCTTCACAGTAGGGTTCTGCTGTGATGGTTTGGCCTGGTGATAAAAAGTTATAGTGGATCACACCAGCCGATGACCACCAAGCCGTGACCAGAATCTTTTTTCGTGAGGGTTCGGCTTTGAAAATTACCTCGGTGGTTCGTCGAAATCCAACCACTGTCCGGAACGTCTCCTGTTATCATACATGACCCATTTTTCATCACAGGTGACAATTCGGCCCAAAACAGGTCGTTTCTGCTGCGCAAAAGCAATGCAGAAGGAACCTCGAGACGTGCCGATTCCTGCCGGTCACTCCGATTGTGGGGCACCCAATTGTCGAGTTTTTTCACCTTCCCAATGCGTTCCAGACCATCTGCAACAGTGGATTTGCCAAGGCCTAGCTCTTCTGCTATCTCTCGAACTGTTTGGGATGGGTCAGCCTCCAAAATCCCCCTAAATCCTCGTCAGATATTGCTTTAGGTCGACCGCTATGAGGTTCATCTTCAAGGCTGAAATCTCCAGAACGAAATTTGTTGAGCCATTGCCGCACAGTGCTTTCTCTAGCACTATTGGGCCCCACACCTGGTTAATTTGTTGAGCTGTTTCGATTGCGGATTGCCCCAATTTATAGTCGAAGAAAAAAATCGTCCGAAGTGCTCTTTTCACATGCTTGAAAAAATCTTGAAAAAAGGGGGTTTATCAAGCAATGGTGAAACGGCAATTATACCATCAGATAGCGCAAAGAATTCTCTACAGGATGTGCTACTGAGACGCAAGGGAGATGAGTTTTAATCAGCAGTGACACCACCATCATGTACAAAAAATAGAGTGCCACAAAACGCTGAGAACTTTCCGGACAACCTAATATTATGGAGGACCAGTTATCTAGACGAAGAACTTCCTTTCAGGACATGACACAACTTCCAGTGGAATCGGTTTTACTGTGTGGTGGCTCGGACAGTCACCTGAATCTCAAAAGAAGGTTCACGAAGAGCTTGATAGTGTCTTTGGTAAGCATGAGATGCTATAGCTGTGACAGCACTTTCATTTTTCGTTAAGATTATGTTACTGTAGGCTATACCAATGACATGCGCCTTTTTCTAATAATTTCTCCCTTTACTCTGAAGTAGTTCCCTTTTAGTTATGACATGGTCCTAACCCACCTCGCCTCAGATTTTGTACTGAACACGCCTAAATGATCCACAACCGGACGTGTCAACCAGTAGGGGTTGCTCCGATTACAACCTCACCAAGCGGTTTGGTGGCCAGCCTTTCTCCTTCCCTAGAGATAAGGAAACAATCCTTGCATATGTGAAATTTGACCCAATTGCAAAACCTTTTTTGGCGCAGAGTCTGCTTCAAGGGCAA